TTTTTTTTTTTAAGATTTATTTATTTATGCATACAAAACTGAGGTACAGGCCAGAGGTGCAGTGGTAGTGAGAGGATTCACCAGAGATAGAGTGGGGAGCAGAACAGGCAGGTTGATGGAGTATACTGCTGAGGGGAGCCAGTGGGCGGGTCAGGAGAGGTCTGCTGTGCCATGTAGGTCACCTTCCTTGCCCAAGATCGAACTTGTACTAAAGCAGCTGCAGCTAGCTTGCAGTGCCACATCCTAACCCGTTGCACCACCAGGGAGAGCCTGAATGTTCAACATTCTGAGCACCTATGAACACTCTTTTGGGTACTAGATCCTGGGTAGGGTACATTTTTAATTGCTAGGCTGACAGAGGGTAGTGCCCTGCTGTACTTGGCCCACTGCAAGACGGAGAAAACAATCCTATAATCTCTCTCTAACAGGATATGTGCTAGGACTCTGGCATCCTCACTTGCCTAGAAGCAAGGTCAGATTGGAGGAGAATTTCCCACTTAAGGCTTTTGATGAATTGCAGATTAAGGCCAAACAGTAGGCACACAAATCCAAGGTCAGCAGCCATGAAAGAGGACAGAGACTCTGTGAGGAGAAACAATTAATGTGGAAGCCTTCAGGGACTACATATATAGAATTGTTAGATGTAGGCTTGATGTGTTTAAGGAAATAAAGGATAGACTTCCAAGTGAATATGTACCATGATACTGTCAGGAGTTACTGAGCAGATTTGATAAGGAAACAGATGGATTTTACAGAAACAAGAGAATTATTAAAAGGAGAAAGTCTGGGGAATAAATAGCAGATGAGATACACTTGAAGAAATAATTTGAACAGCAAGCTACATTTGAAGAATTGACCAAGATTGTAGTCCAGGAAAGAAGTTTTGAAGATAAGAAAATAAGGGTGAGAAATGTGGTGGATAAAATCAAAACGTCTAAGATGCTCTGGGAGAGTGAGATGCCAGAGCCCCACCAAATGGAGAGTAGATGCAGAATGACGATGAAATATTGGCTGAGAAAAGCTCAGTGGACCCAAAGTACGTTAAAAGTCTTAACCATGACTGTAAAAAATCAGAACACTGGAGGTCAAAAGGCTATCTTAGAAGCAGCCAGTTTGTATAAAGTAACAGTAAGTACTGTGGATTAGGTAATGGAGTCAGGAAGATAATAGAAGTTAGTGAGTGTGTTGAGAACAGCGTTGCCATCTTCAGTTTTGTGACAATAAAACTTCCAAGGGCTAGAGAGAAGCAGAGTCATCTCTAGAGACCTTCACTAAAAACTTTTGTTTGTTTTTAAAGAACATTTTAAAAGGACAAGTTTATTAGGAAAGGTAAAATGGGGAGAGAGATACCTTCATATTCACAGGTTGAGCAAGGAAGAGAGCTGTACTAAAAATTTCTTAAAGGACATGTTTCATTTGCTCACTGTTTTCTATTACCTTTCAAATGATCCTTCCCAAGGTGGCAATTGTAAAATAGCAGAAGAAATTATTTCTTATGAGGGAGTAAACAACTAAAGCGAGTACAGAGACTAGAGAGGGAATCTGCTAAACATCTTCCGTGACAGGACATTCCCCCCCAGCAGAGTTGTCTGACCCAAAATACTGGTAGGGACAAGGTTGAGAATAGTGGGTGTAAGCGAGAGTTAACCTCGGTAAACTGTTGCTCAAGTATACAGTATACCTGCTGTATTTCAAGCGCTATTCTGAGTACTTCACAAAAGATAAATGTGCTTTTAGCTCAGTATAGAAAGCTACTGTTATTGACTCTTTTTCTACAGCTGAGGAAACTGAGGCACAGATCAGCAAAGATTTAGCATATGATTCAGGCATCTAGATTACAGGCTGTATTTCTAACCATTATTCTATCCCCTCTCTTAATATAAATCTGTGGATAAGAAGAGAAACAGGAATGGAAGTAAATGCAAGTCAGAAGGTGATATATCAAGCTATAAGATCTATTATGTGAATGTAAAGCATACTTTACATGTAAATTTTTTTTAGAGGACCCTCCATGGTGGTGCGTGGGTTAAAGCACAGCACTAAGACGCTAAAGCCACTTCAGCATGAGTTTGATCCCCATCCCAGCGGTGATCCACATGGTGTGGCAGGCTTCTCCTGACCTGCCCGCTGCTCCCCTCAGCAATGTACTTTGTTGATCTACCTGTTCTGCTCCCCACTCTGTCTCTGGTGAATCCTCTCGCCACCCCTGCACCTCTGTCCTGTACACCAGTTCTGTATGCATAAATAAATAAATCTTTAAAAAAAATTTTTTTTTGGAGAGGGTTTTAAGATCCCTGCATTTAAGAGGTTAAGTACTGGCAAACTTTATGCTTCATTATATTGAATATACATAATGAAACTGAAAAAGTTACTGCTAAAACAATTGAAATAGTTTGTAAATTCCAAACCAGTAGGGAAAATGACATAAGACAACCAACAACCATTTTAAACAACACACAAAATTTAACCCAACCATTCAGCAAAAATACTATTTAAAAAAAGGGGGGGAGGTGGGAAGATATGGAAACAACCCAAATGCCCAAAAGTAGATAACTGGATTAAAAAGATGAGGTACATATACACAATGGACTATTAACAACTAAAAGAAAAAAATAAACACATGCCTTTTGCAGCAACATGGATGGAGCTGGAAAAGATCATGCTTGGTGAAATAAGCCAGAAAGAAAAGGAAAAATACCGGATGGTTTCTCTCATAGCAGGAGTATAAAGGACCAGGCGAGAAAATAATAATTAACAACTATAAACCAGAGACATGTTACAGGGGTGGAATGGGGGATGGGATCAAAAACGGTGGGGGGAGGGAAGTGCACTGGACTATGGTGATGGCACACGGGAATTACAACTGACATAGATAGAAAAAGGCACAAAGTGATGTAAAAATAAACTTATATTTAAAAGGGGGGGTTGCTGTCAATTTTACCTTATTACAGTTGATAAAAGATAAGCTTAGAAAAGAGAAAATTCAGATGAGTTAAATATAGGTGGTTACTTTAAATGTCAATGAAATAAACTTCCTTAAAAGAGAGAAAATGTGAAATTACATGTAAGTGAAAGAAAACTATACAGCTATATAATCCTTACTACAAATATAAGATGCAAAAAGAATAAAAAATGCACTGGTAGGGGGAAGATGCACCAAGAGATTATAATTGTCACTCTGGTTATTGATGATAAACAAAAATGAGAAATTTAGAAATCTAGTTTAATGTACAATTAACTTCCTCTAAACACTTGGATTGAACACATCTATTTAAAACATCATAAAGCAAGCCTCAGTGATTTCAAGTATTACTGCAATTACATAAATGTTTTCTGTTAGAAGTTGGTAATAAAAAGATAAATTTAAAAATTCTTACACTCTGTCAGAACAGCTAAAACAGTGACACACCAAGTGCTGGCAGGAGGTGGAGAAACTGGATAAATCATGTTGTCAGTAGGAATGTGAAATGGTTCAGCTTCTTTAAAAACTAAACATACCGCTTAGCAGTCATACTCTTGGGCATTTATCCCAGACAAATGAAAATGTCACAAAACCTGTTACATGAATGTTCATGGCAACTCTATTTGTGATAGTCCACGTCCAGTCACCCTTAGATGTACCTCATGGAGTGAATGGTTGACCAAACTGCGACACCTGTCTATACCATGGGATGCTGTTTGGCAACAAGAGGGAAGAAACTGTTGATACATTACATTCTTGATGGTCTTCACAGAAGTTTGCTCAATGAAGTCAGTCATACTGTGTAACCCCCCACATACAATATTTTCTAAATGAAAATTTTTCAAAATGGAGCACAACTGAGGGGTTGCTAAGGGATGGAGGGGCAGGGCTATTGCGGGGGCAACACCTTGCAGGATACCCGTGGTGGTGGAAGTTTGATGATGAATCCGCTTGGGAGAAAATTGTTAGGAACTTGATATACACACCCTTAGAAGTGAGCACACAATTCTGATTGTGATATTATGTCATCATTTAAAACAATGGTACTGTGGGGGGAAAGTGGGTAGAATGTCACAAAAATTTTTCAGTAGCACTTTATTAAAATATAACTTACAAAGTGTGTAGTTCACCCTACCAAAGGACAGTGTTCATTGGCTTTTAGTATATTTACAGACTTGTGTAGCTATCCCGTAATTAATTTTAGAACATTTTTTCACTCCAAAAGAAACAGCATTACAGAAAATCTTATAAATGCAACATTATTCATAATCACAAAATGGAAACAATCCAAAGGTCCACCACCTATAGAGTGGATATACAGAATGTGGAAGTCCATGTAGTGGAGGAGTATTGAGCAGTACAAAGAAACGAAGTTACTAATACATGCTGTAATATCTGGTGACCTTGAAAATATTATGCTAAAAATATATTGTGTTCAACAGAAGAAACCAGTCACAAAAGAATACATATTTTGAGATCCCCTTTATATGAAATGTTCAGAATAGGCCTATCTATTGATATAAAAAGTAAGTTAGTGGTTGCCAGAGCCTGGGCCCCTTGGCCATCCAAAGGACCTGTTCAGCTCTAGTTACTTCTAGAAACATTATTCCCATCACTTGTGCCTCTCCTATAAAGGGAGTGTTCACTTCTAACAGCAATGGGGCGTTAGGCCCACCAACCCTCCTGTCTGCACAGCTGCGAATGCAATGGGTCTTTGGGGCTTCCTTTCACACTTGCTGAGGTCTGACTGGGGTCTCCTCTCCATTTCCAGCCCAGCTTCAACTCCAGCAGGTGGCGCTGCAGCAGCAACAGCAACAGCAGTTTCAACAGCAGCAGGTGGCGCTGCAGCAGCAGCAGCAACAGCAGCAGCAGCAACAACAACAGCAACAGTTTCAGGCTCAACAGAATGCCATGCAGCAGCAGTTCCAGGCAGTGATGCAGCAGCAGCAGCTTCAGCAGCAGCAGCAGCAGCAACATCTGATCAAATTTCAGCAAAACCAGCAGCAGGTACCAAGTTGTTTCCATACTCAGCCTCTCTTCTGTGGCCTTTGAGTTCTAGAAATATACCAGCCACAGTGATGGGCACAGGGGCTGCCATGAGTAGAGCCAGCCCTGCTCTGACAGCTGGTGCCTGGGCTTTCTGCAGAACCCTGGAACAAAGAAGAGAAACAGGTCCTGACTTGTTAGGACAGTGGTGTGATTGCACAGGGAGGGCTTCTCCTTCAGGCTCAAGTGTCTTGGTCTGCTGGCAACTGGCAGCTTCTGGGTACAGATGATTTTCTTCTAAGAGTTAACTGAAGAAAAAAGTGAGGAAAGTGTTCTGAAATGTAGGAATTCTTGAGCTGTCCTGTGGGCATTGCTCTCAGACATGCATGTCTCCAGTTTTTGTCTCGTGAGTGTTTTGGTGTCTGGTTGCAGTATTGCTGGACCCACATCTAGTGTCCCCTGGAGGAATGGCCATGTCACATTAGAAACCTTGGAGGGAGGGGGAGATACCTGTTGAACTTTATCCACTTACCCACCTCTGTTCTGTTGGCCTTAATTGCTTCCTTTTCCCATTGGCTATCCCCATACATCTCAGACCCCTGCTAGTCGTGCAGGCACTCTTCAGTCCCACTTTACCTCCTCCTGAAACTTGTCCTGTTGACTACTATGGCAAGCAAAATCATCCCTGAAGAGGATTCAGATGTCTGCAGTCACCCAAGTGTTTACCCCAGTTTCTGTGACTCAGCATCTATGTGTCATCCTTTAGTAAACTTCCAGATACTTTCCTGGAGCCTTCTTGCATCTTCTTTCCACCTAGGGTGGGCCAGCATCTGGTGGACAGGGCACAGACATGCACTTCACGAGTACTCACTGCCCTTGTATGGGAGGTGCTCCCACCCTCACATGGGAGAACAGCCCAGGTACACTGCTTCGGGGCAAGACTGCCTCAGGAACCAGAGCTGACAGGGTCCCTGTATTCTGTTTGTTCTGCCTCTAGATACAGCAGCAGCAACAGCAACTGCAGCGGATAGCACAACTGCAACTGCAGCAGCAACAGCAGCAGCAGGCTTTGCAGGCCCAACCACCAATACAGCAACCACCAATGCAGCAACCACAGCCTCCTCCCTCTCAGACCCTGCCCCAGCAGCTGCAGCAGATGCACCACACACAGCACCACCAGCCCCCACCGCAGCCCCAGCAGCCGCCAGTAGCTCAGAACCAACCCTCACAGCTCCCACCACAGTCACAGACCCAGCCTTTGGTGTCACAGGCTCCCGCACTCCCTGGACAGATGTTGTACGCCCAGCCACAGCTGAAACTGGTGAGTGTCCGTGGCCCGTGGTGGGTCACAGCTCTTATGGTGTCTTATGTGTCTGGCAGCCATTAGTGGTTTCTTTGACAGTGAATGGAATGTCCTCTTTCTCAGCTACTAGAAATCAGCAGCTCGTCCCCACACCATCTTGTGCTCTGCCCAGCTAGGAAGTGTGCATGTAGGAGCTGCTGCGTCCTGCACTGACTGCTCCGCTCCTGCGATAGCAGTTTGTTGCCCAAGCGGCTTGGCTGATTGCCATAGTGGCATTTAAGATTGTAGATGAGTAGAAGGATGGCGGATGCTATCCTCACTATGGGGAGGAGGTACTGCCTCCATTGGGCATCTACCAGTTTGGTAACTGCTCTGTTATTTTCTAAACAAAGAATACCATATTGGGGGTGGCATTAATTAAAACCAAATATTCTTTTTTATTTATTTATTTTTTTAAAGATTTATTTATTCATACAGAACGGGGGTACAGGCCAGAGATGCGGAGGGTGGGAGGAGCCACCAGATACAGAGCGGAGAGCAGAACAGGCAGACTGTTGAAGTACACTGCTGAGGGGAGCAGCGGGCGGGTCAGGAGAGGTCTGCTACGCCATGTGGGTCACCTCCGGAGCAGGCGGGGATCAAACTCATGCAGAAGTGGCGTTAGCTTCTCAGTGCAGTGCTTTAACCCGCTGCGCCACCAGGGAGGGCCCAATACAAAATATTCTTATTTCAGTCTCATATACAAAGCATTTTTAGTCGGTCACATTAAAACAGTTACAAATACTATTACCGGGCTCTCCCTGGTGACGCAGCGGGTTAAAGCACAACACTAAGAAGCTAAAGCCACTTCAGCATGAGTTCGAACCCAGCCCGCCCCGGAAGTAACCACATGGTGTAGCAGACCTCTCCTGACCTGCCCACTGATCCCCTCAGCAGTGTAATTCATCGATCTGCCTGTTCTGCTCCCCACTCTGTCTCTGGTGAATCCTCTCACCGCCCCTGCATATCTGGCCTGTACCCCAGTTCTGTATGCACAAATAAATAAATCTTAAAAAAAAAAACTATTTCCAAGTCCCAGGTAGCTGCATCTAGGAGCCCTTTTAATGTTTCTCAGCTTACTTCCTTGTTTTTTTATGACTGTTTCTGTTTCTGATTCATTGCGAGGAGTGGGGATGAAGGCTGAACATGAGTGGTGAGATGAATACAAGGCCGCACTAGGGCACACTGGAAGCAGGAGCACTGTGGTTATACTCGACACTTGGGAGCCAGCTGTTTGCTGACTGGCACCACCTCTGCTTTTCTCTTTAAAGAATCTGAGGCTCCGAGCAGGACTCCCATAGACTTTGTGTCCTTAGCCCAGAGTTGAGCAGGCTCGGCTGAGCTATGCGCTCAAGCTTTGGAGCTGTAGCTGTGCTCGCAACTGTAGCTGTATGGCAGTGTCCCCGTGGGAGGGCTGCACTCTGTCAGAGTTAGGGGAGGTGGGACTCAGCTGTACCAACACAGAGCAGGCTGGTGTGGAATATTTCCAATGAACTAGAGGATCAAGGACAAGCAAGGTGACTTCATAGGCAATGAAGTCATAACAATCCCTTCACCCTCTCACAGAAAGCTTCAAAATTCAGAGCTCCCACAGAAGTAGTGGGTACTCTGTCCTCAACCTTGGGGGCTCAATTTATTCTCTCTTCCTCCTTCAGGTCCGAGCTCCAATGGTGGTGCAGCAGCCCCAGGTGCAGCCCCAGGTGCAGCAGGTGCAGCCCCAGGTGCAGCAGCAGACAGCAGTGCCGACAGCTCAGGCCTCCCAGATAGTGGCTTCTGGCGTCCAGGTGAGGGCCTGCGGAGCTTAGTGTTGGCAGGTGCATGTCCTCTGTGCGTGGAGCTGGATTTCAGGTGCTCTATTGCAAGGATCTTGCATTCCTCGCCCCAGCACTCTGCCAGACAAGGGCTAATCCCAGAGCCTGGGCAGCCTGGAGTCCTCAGTGTCACCAGCTCTGCTTAGTCATATTTGGTCCTTTCATGTTCACAGTACCTGTGTCATTTTCCTGATGTCCTTCATCTTCCCTCTCTTATCTGAGAACACAAGTTGCAGAGGAGAGCATCTCACTTGCAGCACTGAGTATGGGGCTGACCGGAGGTGGACTCTTCTTGAAACTAGCAGAACATGAGAATTGTGGCACCTGGCTCCAGTGATGACTTGTGCACAGACCCTTGCCTGGCTGACTGTTGGTGCGTGCCCCTGTGCTGGAAGTGCAGGGAGACCCACCACATATGTTCTGCGTTGCTGGTTGTCAGTGGAACAGGTCGGATCTTGCCCGAGTTTTCACAGTGGAGGCCAGCTCACCGGTGGTGTAGTAGCTTCAGTGTAGTTGCACCTCACCCTTGTGCTGGTGTTGAGTAGTGGAAGCCCCTGTGGAAGCCCCTGTCTGGTGCCTTGTCACATCTCTCTCCATCCAGAAGCGGGAACACTGATAGTTCCGACTCAGGAGCGTGTTATCTATAGGAAGAGCAGTCATGTTAGTTGGATGAGATGATAAGATCACTGTTGGGTTCTGCCTATCCTGGTGCTCTGCTGGGCTGCTGGGATGAGTGGCACCTGCCATACTCATGACCCTGCCTATGACTTGTGAGTCTTGTTTGGTGGGCGGTGCTGCATGTCTCTGGGACTCAGGGTATTCCCTTGGTGTCAGATAGCTCTCAGGACCTTCCTGGCCCCAGCACTGTTGCTTGAGTTCATGGGAAGCTTCCTGAGGAGAAACATGCCAGTGGAGGAAACTGAAGGGACAATTTCTATTGTCTCTGCACCAAGTGACCTGGGCAGAGTGCCCCACACAGCAGCTTCCCCAGACAGGGCCTTGAGGGAAACACAGTGCAGGTCGGTCCTGTTATCTGTACCTGGGAGGGGCTAGCTGCCCTGAGTGACCAGGCTGGAAGTAGTCTCTGCTGCAGCTACTGTGTTATGTCCTGGGCATGTCCCAGGCCCCTGGCACTCCCTCACTGGGTTGAAGCAGAGAAGCAGGTGGCATATAGGAACCTCTTGGCCCTTAAAAGCCACTACCCTTGATGCCTCACGACACTCCCTGTGCTGTCCTTAGGATCACATTTTATGGAAACGGCTGCATCTCAGTCAGGTCCAGTAGGAAAGTAAAAGAGACTCGGCATTTTTTACCCTGCATTTTGCTGGCTTGAAGGAGAATTTCCCTCTTAATCTCATTTTTTGATGTTTGGGACGTAAACACTGAAGAACACTGATCCCATCATTTTGTGGGCTGATTTGTTACAGTCATATAGCCATCACCCTCTGAGAGTGACCTGCAGCTGTGTGCTCACTACCTCACTCTGAGCCTGCACACAGTGCTGGGCCACCTGTACTTGCTCCACTGATGTGGGCTGGAGGTCCCAGGCCCGCGAGTGTGGGTGCTTAGGGAGGGACACAGTTGCCTCCAGATTTGTAATCTTTCCCCCACAGAAAACTGATGGCAAGTGGAGCTGAAGTGGGGCCCAGGACTCTTCAGACAAGGATCCAGGAAAGATTGTGGGCTCTCTGGTAGCTGGAGAAAAGTACTCACTACTTGAGTATTATGAGTGGGTTTGTTTTTTGCAGATGTGTCTACCTCCCTCCCACATATGACAGACTAGCTCTGGGTGGAGACCTCACTGTCTTACAGGCTGTGTGATGGGACTGTTAGGAGCTGGGGGCCGAAGTAGCATTTTGAAGCCCTGAAACACGGAGACCTTTTTGTGCCCTTGCCCTGGCAGCAGCGCTTTGGGGCCTCTGCCCTGGCTCTGGTGGTTTGTCTCTGTGCTTGGTCCTGCCTCTCTGCAGGCAGTGCACTTGGGTGGCAGCAGGCTGGTCTTGCCTCAGTGTTTTGTTCTGGCAGCAGTGAGTCCATGGAATTCCATGGGGTGTGACAAGTTCTAGGGTTATCTCTGGATTCACAGTCCTCCTTTGCAGTCAAATCAACTAGACAAGGCTACCAATGTTCTGACCCTAAAACTTCAAAAGTTATGTGATAACTGTGGAGATGAAGTTAGAGTATAAATCAGGTAACATTCCAATACAGGAAAGATTTGGCATCTTTCTTTCCCTAGTTTTCATGTGTAGTCATGGTCATACTATACACTGGACTCTGTGTGTAACTGCTTTCTTGCTGGCATTACAACAGAAGGAAACCATCCTCCTGTAATTAAAACCTGAGTCACATTACTTCACATGACTGTATAGTATTCTTTTTATGACTGTATCCTGTTGTTTGTAGTTGCCATCTTGTTCTTGAATCCTGAGGTTATTTCTAATTTTTGCAGTTACCAGTGATGTATATCTTCATGGCTGGGTCTGGATTTTTTCCTGACGTCTCCTAAAAGTGAATCACCAGGTCACTTTGAGACCCTCAGGTTTTATCAGCCAGTCATCTACCAGGAGTTCAGAAACACAGACTAGAAGTCTCTGTGCTCACATGTTTGACATCAGGACACCTTGTCCCTTCTTCCATTATGGGAGTTGCTGTGTACAGGCGCTGGCACTGTTCTGTGAAACAGGCACTGGGATTGGAGCACTTAAACTGGCAGCCCATTTTGTCTTGTCTCCTGCTCTGCCCTCCAGGACAGAGCAGTAAAGAAGCACCCTGTCAAACACTCTGGGGCTGTAGGGGCAACCCCACTGAGGGTTGATCTGTCATAGTATTCCAGGAAAAGTGGGGAGCCCTGTGCCATGTATGCTGACTTTCTTACCTGACGCTGCTTGTGGAGATGAGAAGGACTGTATCACTGTCACCCACCATAGGCTTTACTCTAAGGCTCAGCAGGAGACTAAAATACACGTTTTCCCCCTAATACTCTAGCTACTGATACAGATAAAACTGGAACAGAATATGTTTCCAGTGACAAAAATCCCTGTCTTTTGTCTTTTAATCTTTATTATATGAGGACTTAACACAGTTACATCACTACAAAACTTTTCTTGCAATCAAGTTATGAATTGCCATCAAAGACACACTTCCCTGATGTACATAGATGTCATCTGGCTGAGCCTTGCCTGAATCCCTCCCCCTTCCAGGCTCCCCTCAGGACGATGACAGGCCCACCACCTGCGGGGCGGTGCCTGATTCCCTTTCTGGGGTATTTGTGTTGGGGAAGAGAGAGTGATGCAGTCACTCTGGAGACTGTGACTGTGGGCTGTTGGCGGTTTCCTGCCTAGCTCTTCTGCTCCTGTGAACACTGCTGGCGTGTTTCCATTAGTATTTGTGGTTGGAAGAAAATGAGCTGTCCCTCTCAGGGGTTTTCATCTCCAAGGAAATCACTCGGCAGCAAGTTAGATCTATACTTCGATTCCTTTTTACTCTTGTTTCTTCCTGAGTGAAAGTTTCTACCTCTGTCATACCTCCTGACCAACTTCAGGCTTTCTCCTTCTGGAAGGAGCACTGTTGAGCTGCTCCTGGGCTTTCAATTGGGCAGATCTTGAGTGCCATACTGGTGATAAATGTTATCCCATCTTAATCATACCTCTCCTCCACACCCCCTTACTTCTGCTTAGAGCTGAGCCCAGGAGAGTTGCTTTCAATCCCCACTCATTGTGGTCAGTGAACCCTCTGGGTAGGAGATTGTGTTTTCCCAAGGCTTCTTATCCAGACTCCCCCAATACATGCCCCCAGTGTCCCACTTTGTTTCTAATGAGGTGCTGTGATATTGGGCTTTCCAGGACTTGCTCTTGTTTTGGCAGCAACTGAGGAATGGCTTTCTTGTCCCCAGTCCCTGGGGAGTTACTTTTTTGGTGTGCCTGCAGAAATGTCTGGTCCCCAGCCCTGGAGAGAGTTACCCCACACCCATAGCCATTGCAAAGTTCAGGTTGGTGTCTGTACTGCTTGTGTCACCCCCAGCTTGCAACGCCTGCCATGTGGACCCTGTGGGTGTGAGAGTGAGACATGCATGTGAAGCCAGAAAGTCTCCCAGTGGGTTTCCCCTGCTTCGGAGCACTGCCCCACCAACTCGCTGCCCCAGTCTCACACCAATTTGCAGTTTCCTGGGACAAGCATTTTGCTTTTCCCACTGGTCAGTCCTGCTTCCTTTCTGACCCCTGGCCATGTTTTAGTGTGGTTCCATCTTAAAAATTGTGAGCAAATGCTTTTCAAGCACCTAGGGCTAGTACTCCATTCCCAACTCAGAACCCAGAGTGAGGGTGACGAGGCCAACTGCCAAGTTCCTACCAGTGCAAGCCAGACCCTGATCCAGACTCACAGCAGTACTCAGCCTATCTTGCTGTCTTTATGCTTCTAGAAACATAAGCTGAGAGGAGAGCTGGGGTCCAGACTGTGCTGGAGATGCACAGCCTGTAGTCATCTTGCGTATTTAAGGACAGACTTGACCCAGACTTGAATCTCAGTGGGAACTGTGCCTCACTGTAGTGAGGCCTCAGTGACATACCAGCCTCCTTTTTACATCTTCCCCTGATTTTCATTGTAAAAGGAAAACCAGTTCTATGGCAGATTCTGACTTGGAAGAGAGGAGAAGGGTTTGAGTTTGGCTCTTCAAACATCTTTGTCAGGCATCATACTACTGAGAAGAAAAAGTGCCATGAGCTGTCTGGCTCACCTGGGGTTTCCTTTGCTGTAATAAGGTCAACTTCTTGTAGTGAACTCTAGTAGAAACACTCTTTTGAAGCCTGTTCTGGAGCCTGGTCTCCCAGAAACACCACCCAGACCCTTGAGGTCTGGCCCTGACGTTTCTGTGGACCCACCAGCAGATCAGAAGTTTGTTGGAGTGAAGCCAACAGAAAGACCTGGAGGTAGCATTCTTGGTGGCTCCTAGACTCCTGCGCCTAGATAGTCCTCAATGCTTTGAACTTGAAGTCCAGACTCTTTCTTCCCAGGCTCCCTGAGCCCCCACAGGCCCCTCACTGGGGGCACTCCTTGTCACAGAGGCTACACAGCTCTTTCCACCTGCCCATGCACTGCATTTCTTTGTTGCGATCACCTTGTCTGTTGTCCCTCTGTCCTCAAGATGATCACCGCAGCCTTGGCCCAAGGTGGGATGCAAGTAAGAGCCCGGTTTCCGCCCACCACCGCTGTGTCTGCCGTCCCGTCAAGCACCATCCCTTTGGGCGGACAGCCCTCGGCACAGGTATTTACGGGGCAGCGCCCAGGGCCACCGGGAAGCTCAGGGTCCTCTGAGTGCTTTTGTGCGGCACTGTCATCTCCAGTGACTTACAGGCAGTCGGAGTGCTAACTACATGAGGGCAGACCCAGTTTCTGCTTCTTGAGGGGATACGAGTAATATCTGGGTGTATATTTGTTTTAATAGTGTGGTCAGTTGCAGTGTTCTGCTCTTTTGGAGGTTGGAGCCATGTCACTTTATAAACATTGGAGTTGTTGAACAGTTACACTGCTGCCATGTTTGTGGTATGGTAAAACAAGCTAAGTACAATAAAACAGACACTAAGTAAATCGTTTTGCTTTCTAGGACATACTAATAATATAACCGTCAGCCATGTGTGGCTTTTTACATTTAAGTTTAATTAAAATTAAAGCTAAAAATTTAATTGCACAGTTACATTTCAGGTGCTCATAGCCCCTTTGGGAGGCTCGTGGCTGCTGGACTGGATGGCACAGATTGTATGAATCGGTCTATTGTGTTGGAAGGTTCAGTCAGACCATTCAGTTTTAGATTTTCTGTGTAGAGCATAGAATTTTCTACACATCCGCACCCTCTTCCTGCGTAGAATAAGGACTTCTTTGGACATTACCCTTTTTCAGGGGCTTAAGTTTCTGGTTCTCCATCATCATATGAAATTTGGAATTGTCTGTGGAGGCTTCATCCTGTACATGCCTTGTGCCACGCTCTCTTCTGAGATTCTGAGAATAAAATGAATAGGGTTCCCTAATCTTATGGACCTTCCATTTAGACTTGAAAATCTCAAGGTTGCCAAAACTTAAAAATTCAGTTTCTGTTGTAAGTATACTGCATCTATTATCCTAGCAAATAGTAGCCCTTCCCTTCCCCGGTGGCACATGTGCTGGTACTGCCATCACCGCCAGGCCACTCTGCCACACACCACTGAGACAAGTGAAGAAGGCCTTCCTGAGGCTGAGGGATTGCCGTTTGGGGGTGTGCTCGTTTTTACCCTCCCTACACTCCCACCCCCAGGGTTACCCCAGATCTGCCATTTACATGGCTTGTCACTGACTAGAACTTGAGTTCTTGACGTTGTCTCCTTGTGGTAGTTGTTGAGTTTGGGAGGAAGAGGCAGCTGGGATCTGCTGGTAAAAAGGCCTTGTGACTGAGAGAAGAAATTGGCAGCAGGGGCGGTGGTTCTTGGGATCGAGGTCGTAAAGAGGGCAGAGGGGAACAATACACAGTGGCTTGCTCAGGGTGGGGTCCTGAGGCCTTAGGCACCTCCTGCCCCGGCCCTGTTACCTACTGCATGTTGTTAGTGAATGTTTCCTTGCCCTCTTGTCTCTAGATTCTCAGCTTTGTAACATCAAACTTCTTCTCTGCTTCAGCTTCTGCTTCTGTATCTATTGGGTTGATCGTGTCAGATTTGGCTGATGGGTGTAGAGGAATAACTGGCGTTCAGTACACAGGACTGATTATTATTAAACAAGAAAGCCCCGAGCTGGAAGATTCAGTCAGACCATATAGTTTTATATTTACTATCTAGAGCATAGAATTCCCTACATATCCACACCCCCTTTCTAGGCAGAATAAGGATTTTTTTGGACATGACACCTTTTTGGAGACATGAATTTCTGGTGAGTAGTTGATATATGACAGATGTTGAGTCCAGTTCTTTGTATGTAAACATTTTCTCACTGTAGGTCACAGTGCTGGTCTCCCAGCAGACCTTGTGGCAGAAGGTGCCCCACCTACCATAAAAAACAGACTGAGCTGCTCAGGTTAGACCTTTGGTCCAGACTATGAAGCATTCCCACCTCAGCTTTTCAGCAGGGTCCCTGGCTCAGACTCCCCACCCTATTTCTGCCCTGAGAGCCCCAGGCATACTGTGGGCATGGGGCTGACTATGAAGCTGATTCCAGGATTGATGTGTACAGCTTCCTTGTCAGTGTCATTCTAATCCAGTCCTCTTTCCAGCTAAAGGTAACTTGTTTCAGGAGCTGTCATTAAAATATATCTGGGAACTGCTCCTGACGTCCGAACGGTATCCCATCCTCCCTTCCCCCAAGCTCTGTCTGTTCAGCATCCTGGGCCTCAGTGTATCTGCCTCCAGCTACTTATACACACCAGCCCCTAGTGGGAGTGTGTCCTTCAGCATCTGCAGTGCCTGTCTGGTTTTGTTCTTTGCTTATTGCAATAAATTGTGTCCGAGGGAATGGGCAGAATAGAAAGTTGGGGCATAAGGATTCCCCTGGCTCTTCTTAAGTTGGGACTCTCTTGTCTCAGGCTTCCCTCCTACCCTCCTGCAAGATGTCCCATGGGGGTGCTTCACAGACAAGGATAACTGTGACCAAGCAGAATTCTTGTCAATGTGTTGGACTTAGTACCTAACTTCAGATCCGGGGGTGACAGGTCCCTGTCCCCTGCTCCTTCAGTGAGTATAGCAGGCAGCACCAGGTAGGGGACATGCTGAGCAGGGCCAGCAGCACTGGGTAGATGCAGGGATATCCAGCAGGTGTGGGTGCTCATGAGAGACTGGAGGACATGGTGCTGCCGCTGCCTACACTAAAGTTTCTTCACAGGTCAAAGTTCACTAGATTGGTCTTTCTGTCCTGCTCCCTGGCATCTTGGCCCCTGTCCTCCCTCCTCTGGCTGCCCCCTTCTGCTTACTCTTTGCCTCTATCCTATCCCATTTCTGCTCCCTGTAGCTGTCTTGTTTGGGATCATTTCCAGATACTTACCCTTCTCCCTGGGGAAAACAGATGATGCTGAGATGTTGATTTGGTGGACTCCCTCGCTAGGCATGTGACCTGGAACAAGCCACTTCCCCGGAATGCCCACTTCCTGTCAGTGAGGGGCAGGTAACTGGGGCAGACAGAGATCTGTGACAGGCTCTCAAAGCCCCTTCATCTGGAGGTTCAGCATTCCTGTCTTATGTGGATTTTGCCAGCAGACATGGCTGTGCCTCACACAGAAAGTACTCAGACTGGTGAGATGCTTAGCCGGATGGCAGCTCTCCAGGGCTCTCCCTCCAGCTGTTAGGTACATCACTGGAGGAGCAAGTCTGGGCGGTGGTAGGCTTCAACCTGGGCCCCTCAACCTGGGCCCCTTGACACTGAGATTTCTGTCTTGTCAGCCTTCTCATTTACTAGTTCTTTCTCTGGGCCATTGCTCCCCATCCCAGGTTGTCTGTACAACTTGGGATTTAGGAGCCTGCGCTGATGGCCCTGAGAGGGGTCCTGAAGGTTTATGGAGAATATATTTGCTGCCAGCTGGAATCGTGCTTTTTTCCAGAGTTGTAAGAGACAGATCTGGATTGATGCTGGAGACCCTTTTCCCTAGCAACCTCAAGAATGGTGGCTACAGTGGTCAGAGGAATGGAGCCTGGGATCAGACCCTCAGCCCAAGCTGGCCACTCTTCTCGAAGGGACCTTCTGGAAGGGATAGTTTGAGCAAAGACTGAGGCACCTCCTTGGGATCTGTTCTATCAAGTGAGATCAGAGGAGGGAATTTGAACTGTGGCAGGAAGGAGGAGGCTTTAGGGAGTGTGGACCAGAGAGTGACAGCAGATTTGGGGTAATGGAAAAGTTCATAATGGCAGGATTTCCCTGAGGCAGTTGAAGAGGCAGGGCTTTCGAAGGAAACTGGCCACAAAGACACTTCCCATGCCTGATAAACGGGCCCCAGAGTGGGTCCTGGGGCTTTTGCTTGCCCCTCTTTGGCACTGCCAGTCGTTCTCTGCACAGGCTTTTCTGATGTGACCTATTCACTTTGCTAACCCTGGGAACTTGTCGGCACTGGTGGAGATTATAGAGCAGTAGAATCTGCCTACTCCAGGACCTGGGGTACCCTCCCACCATGGAGGAGAGTCCTGAATGGGATGAACTTGCTGTGCGTGGCTGACTGCCATAAACAAAGTCACTCCTGGCCTTTTGTTGACTTTGGTGACATCAGTGAGAATCACCTGGATTGTTTTGCTCCTCTTGGCAGAGCTTCTGGGCCCAGCTGCCAGAGGCCTGAGCTTATACGCTCTTGCTTCTCCATTGGAACCTTGTTACAGTTTGTGGGAGCAACCCATTTCGTTTGTTGGGCCTTCAGTTGGGCTTGGTACCCATCTGACCTGGCCATGTTAGAAGTGACCTCCTACTGTGACCTCCATGCTGTATTACACCAGCACCCTGTGCAGCTGTTTTCCATACTCAAGAGGGTTGAAAGCCAAAGACCGGGAGGAAAAGAACATTTCGGTCTGGGAACTTGGTCCAGGTGGGCCTGGAAGAAAGGGCCAATCCTTCTGCTCTGGGGTATATGAGAACAGCAGGCAGGTCATTTTCCCAGTGGGATCTAGACTTCACATCCTTCCTTTTCCTGATTGGAGCAACAAGAAAGCAGTAACCTCCTTAGAGTGACCCTAGTTCTCCCAGAACCATGGTGGAGGCATTTGTGGGAGGAGGATGAAGCCTCAGTGTTGAGAGTGACCTGGGAGACAGGTGCGTCTGTGCTCTGGATCATCCAGGAGCAGGGCAGGGTGGGGGATTGGGTCACTGTGTGCTTGTGTGTGTATGTACCCACAGGGTGGGGGCTCTGGCCTGTTCCTATTTGAAGGACACAGCGTCTGCAAGAAAGATAAAAGTGTGGTGAGGCTGCAGGAGAGAGAAGGGGCTGCTTGCAGGTTGGTCTGCGAGCCCCAGCTGTGGGAACAGGGAGTAGGCTCTGAGGGGATTCACAGCATGGAGGAGGTTGGGTAAGGTGTGGGAGAAGCCACTCTAGTCCTCCAGTGCCCAGAAGCTGGCAGGGCCTCGAAGGTGATCTTGGTGCCACTATGCCAGGCACTGGGTGAGGCAGCTCTCTGGGGCTGAATGCCCTACAGCCTTCCTCGCCATTGGGAGCTACGCTCATACCCATCTCAGGATTCACCATGGGAAGCGGTTAGTCACACATCTCTGCCCTGTCCCCTGGGTACTAGCTTTAACCTGCATAGTTCACAGATGAGAACAGTGGTGTCCCTGGTGGTGACAGTTGTGCAGTTGACCCGGTGTGTTCTTCCAGGCAAGGACTTTGGGGAGCAGGATGAACCCCAGCTCTACAGTCAAGGGATGGCTTCTCAGTGACAGCAAGCTGCTCACCTCCCCTGGTGGCTGCTGGTATAGTGGGTGGCTTCAGCTGCCAGCCTGAGGTGCCCAAAGCCAGGTGTTTGGAAAGGGCTGACACAGGGGCCACCTTGCTCCCATTAGGCAGGTCCAGGTAAGGTACAGTGTAAATACAGTCGCCCCTGTGTGGACCCAGGAAGTATGTGGAGAGGGCATGCAGAGCAGGATCCTCACTGACCCACACAGGAGAGTACCACAGACCAGGTGGTGCCTTTGGAGGCCACTGGCTATCTTGGTTCTCCTGCCTCCAGAGGCCCCCACACCCATGAGTGGGGACATGGGCTGTCCTGTCCCAGCGCAGAAGCCTGTGTTCTTCATGGGCCTCCCCCACAGAGGAGCAAGGCCTTTCTGCCAACGCCTGGGTCACTGTGCGCTTGTGTGTGTGTGTACCCACAGGGTGGGGGCTCTGGCCTGTTCCTATTTGAAGGACACAGCGTCTGCAAGAAAGATAAGAGTGTGGTGAGGCTGCAGGAGAGAGAAGGGGCTGCTTGCAGGTTGGTCTGCGAGCCCCAGCTGTGGGAACAGGGAGCAGCAGAGTGAGAGCATGTAGCAGGTGAGCAGGCTGAGCCCCCTCCACTTCCAGGTCAGCCAGAACAGCCTCACCATGCTGTCCTCACCGTCGCCGGGCCAACAAGTACAGACCCCGCAATCGATGCCCCCTCCCCCACAGCCGTCCCCGCAACCTGGCCAGCCCAGCTCACAGCCTAACTCCAACGTCAGGTAGGCCTGACTGGGGTGCCCCTCCCTGCCTGGCTCCCTGGGCGGGCCCAGCCCAGAGCCCTGGCTCACTGATAGCTTCTTTTTGCTTTGCTACAGCTCCGGCCCAGCCCCGTCCCCCAGTAGCTTCCTGCCCAGTCCCTCACCACAACCCTCCCAGAGCCCAGTGACAGCGCGCACCCCACAGAACTTCAGCGTTCCCTCACCAGGACCTTTAAATACTCCTGGTAAGTCAAGCCTGGGGTGGTCATGCCCCAAGATCCAGACCCCCATCGTGAGTTACACTCATATCCCAGCAGGTTGAGGTGCTGAGGGTCAGCCCCTCACCTCTTAAGACCTTGGCTCATAATGAGTGAATGGATCCTGGAACCCTCAGAGCTAGAGTACCCATTGTGGGCTAGGACCACACTTACCAGGTTGTGTCCTGCAGTGAACCCCAGCTCAGTCATGAGCCCAGCTGGCTCTAGCCAGGCTGAGGAGCAACAATACCTGGACAAGCTAAAGCAGCTGTCGAAGTACATCGAGCCCCTGCGCCGCATGATCAACAAGATCGACAAGAATGAAGGTGGGGGCAAGAGCTGAGGGGTGGAGTGGGACCCATAGATACCCCAGGCCTGTGTCTTAGTGTCCCCTCTTCTGTCCCAGATAGAAAAAAGGACCTGAGTAAGATGAAGAGCCTTTTGGACATTCTCACAGACCCTTCCAAGAGGTGAGCTTACCCCATAGCCCCCTGGAGAAAAGATGGTGCTTCTCCCACAGCTCATGGAGAGTCCCCAGGTGCTAGGTTGACCCACTCATAGGCAGGCATTTGGTGACCATGCGGAGTTTAAGAGAAGGGATCCTGGGCTGCACTTTGCTGTGTCTGCTTCATAGCTCTGCTGTTGCCAGTAGTCAGCCTCTGGCCTACTCCAGACCATGGCTGTAGCCCTCACACTGCTGCCCTGTGGCTGTCACAGCCTGCCTCATTATGCTGCTGGCCAGGCCTAGCTGCCTCTGATAGGCCTCAAGTTGACTTTCAGCCCTGGCCCTGACTTGCCAGTGGCTTTGGGCGAGTTCTCAATTAACCACATCTGCCAAAGGGGCATCTGTAACTTGCTGTGGAATTGAAACCAGACAGTGCTTTGTGACACACTTGGAAGCAGTGTAGGGCCAGGTTCTCAGCACTACGCATGTGTCCTTCCCTGCCTGCTGACCCCAGGCTGCTATGGGCACCAGAATTTGGGTTGCTTCTCTTGTCCCACCTTGGCTCAGGCTGCTCCCTTCTAGGTCTTTCATGTTCTGTTTAGACAGAATACTAGCCATTGGATTAAGCCTGTCCAGGCTGGGTGGCTTTCTGGCCTTCTCAGGTTGATCCCTTGTTGGCATTAGACGATGGGGAGGTGAGCAGGGGACTGACCTTCATCCCTCCCCTTAGCCCTTCTCACATAAGACTTGTTATGCTGACCAGACTTCTTGGGCCAGAGGGGTCATCTTGCCTTGGACTCTTGTATCTGGAAACAGCTGGTCAGCTGCCGGGGATTCCTGTGGAGGGTTCCTCTGGTGAGACCTGGGACTGGCTCAGTCCACACCAGGGAGGCCAGATGGAAATGGTTGGGATAACCTGAGAGCATCCAGCTCCCCAGCCCTCAGGCATGGAGGGTAAGCCATGTTCCCTTTCCCTATCAGGTGCCCCCTGAAAACACTGCAGAAGTGTGAGATTGCCCTGGAGAAACTCAAGAATGACATGGCAGTGGTGAGTGGCGTGCTTTGGTCTGGCGGTGTTCGAAGAATTGAGACATCTCTGGGGAGCTCAGTGCTGGGAGGAAACCTCATTGTCAGGCTAGGTGGAGAGGCCAGCTGCTTAGCCTGGGAACAATGCTGGGATGGAAGTGGGACACAGGCGAAAGGGAGAAAACATGGCTGGGACCCTGTGGGTGCTTGGGCTGAGCTTTTATGCATATCACTTCTGCCATCACGTGCCCACCCACCCAACAAGAAACCAGACCTGGGGGTGGCAGTGGCAAGGAAAGGCCAGATTGCAGGGGGTGACAGATGTGCCCTGCATAGACCATCTTAATCTCCAGGGGGTGGAGGTTGTGGGGTGCTGACTGAGTGAAAAGTGTGTTGGGATCTGTGATGCCTCTCAGAAAGTCCGAGAGACTGCTGACTCTACCTGTTCTTTTCCCAGCCGACACCCCCACCGCCCCCAGTGCCACCAACCAAACAACAGTACCTATGCCAGCCACTCCTGGATGCCGTCCTGGCCAACATCCGCTCACCAGTCTTCAACCATTCCCTTTACCGCACGTTTGTGCCAGCAATGACAGCCATCCATGGCCCACCCATTACGTGCGTACAGCCTAGGTCTTAGCATTTCAGTGGGTGGTGGGCCATAACCTCATGTGGTCACCATGTCTGCTTCCTCCAGGGCCCCAGTGGTGTGTGCCCGGAAGCGTAGGTTTGAAGAGGATGAGCAGCAGAACATCCCTAATGTGCTCCAGGGGGAGGTGGCCAGGTTAGACCCCAAATTCCTGGTGAACCTGGATCCTTCTCACTGCAGTAACAACGGCACTGTCCACCTGATCTGCAAGCTGGGTGAGTGCCCATTGAGACTGAGTCCTGAACTGCAGCCCCGGGGCACTACCACTTTCCCCCACCCATGCTGGGCCACTGCTCCCAGGTTGTGCCCAGTCTGCGCACTCTGTCATGACTTGCACTTGGGCCTCATATGCACTTGCATGCACGCTCTGTCAGCCCCGGCACACACAATTTCCTCCCCCACTCACTGCCCTTGATTCTTGCGCTTACCTGCAGAGGGCCAATTTGTGAGACCACAAGCTCCCCTCTCTCCAGTGTTGTGAAAGATCATCCCCAGTTGAGATGTGGCCCTGCTGGCTTGGGAGAGCAAGCTCCAGGCATCACAACAAGCCTCATTAGAATGTTCCCTCCAGGGTGTGAAGAGCCCTGTTTGCATCAGATCTGTGGGGTGGTGCAGGCCAGGCCCTTGGGCCAGATCACGGGGTAGCTTCATATGTTGCAGATGACAAGGACCTCCCGAGTGTGCCACCGCTGGAGCTTAGTGTGCCCGCCGACTACCCCGCCCAGAGTCCTCTGTGGATCGACCGACAGTGGCAGTACGGTGTGTGAACCAAGAGGACCATGGCGGGAAGGCCTCTTGGCTATTATCTAGGGGCCTAGAGCAGGCAGGGGTCTGCTTTGGGCAACCAGGGTGTTCTCTATATATCCCCCTGCAACCCAGGCCATCCTTACCCTCCCCTTCCTCCTTTGCAGATTGGAATAGGTTGCCCTGCAGCCACTCGGAGAGAAAAGGGTATCCGCCCCAACTGTGTTCCCTTGCCTGTCCCACTATTCCAGGGCAGCCATGTTCAGAGGATGGGGGTAACCTGAGCTAGTAACCCCTGCGTTCTCAAGTCTGACCTGGGGACACAGACAGGAACTTGGGATCACTGGGACCCATCTGAGTGACATGGCTTCAAGTCAGAGGTTCAGAGAAAACCCTAATGATAGTGATGGTCCCTCCCTCTGCCACCCAGTCAGGCTTAGGTCTGGCGCACAGAGGGTCAGGACTGGGACCCTGAGACTGCTGGACTCCAGGTCCATTCACGCTCCAGTTTACTGACTCAATGCTTGGCTGGGATGAGGGCCTGTGTGTGAGAGATGGCAGCCCACTCACCTTGGGTGGGTGGGTGGGTCTCCCACACAACAGTCTCATGCCTGCCAGTGCTGATGTGGGCCTGGGCCCTAGGGTGACTGTCTTGCTGGAGAACTCAGCACTCATGCCTACTGCTCTGTTGCAGATGCCAACCCTTTCCTGCAGTCGGTGCACCAGTGCATGACCTCCAGGCTGCTGCAACTTCCCGACAAGCACTCGGTCACGGCCCTGCTCAACACTTGGGCACAGAGTATCCACCAGGCCTGCCTTTCGGCCGCCTAGCCACCTCTGCTGCTCCCTCTTGGGCCACCCTTCCCCCCAGCTGCCAGGGACCTCGTCAGGGCCACAGAAGACACGCACCTCACAATGGACGTTTCTAGGTGTTGGCTTCCTTACAGAGCCTGGGCTTAGGTTAGCTTTCTTGCTTTTATCTTCTGTCTTGGGGACCTGCCAAACATTTCCCATACTTGTACAGGACTAGGACAGGTGACCGTGGCATTGGCGCTATCCTCCAGGAAGTCAGACATACTCTACCCTGTGCCCTCCAGGGCCCTTGTCCATGCTCAGCGCCTGACAGAGAGCTCAGGGTCTGTCTTGTTAGAGCATCTTGAGAGTCTGAAAACACTTCTGCTGTTCCAGTAGCAGACAGAGAACATAGGAAACCTTTAAAACACACAGATTCTCTTGAGTTTTGGGTTCAGACCATGCCACTGTTGGCATGTGGAATATGCCACAGAAGCTCCCAGATACAGGGGTGCTGGCTGTGTCTCAGAGGGAAGGCTGGCCTACAGGTGGCTGCAAGTCCCCTGCCACCAGCTGGGCCTTATACCTCACAGCATTTTCCCTTTAAGCCCCGTGGGGCCACAGAGGGAACAGGGACATCTGGGGGATCCTGCCCCTAGCACTGTACCCGCTGTCGGGTTAGGCTGCCACCCTTGGGGCCTGATGTCCTTGGAGCCACTGCAGAGAGTGAGGCTCCCAGGTGGGGCTCCAGCCGGCCCTGTGATGACAACAGTTTCCTCCTTTTATATGTGCACTACCATGTCATCTGTGGTTCTTACAATAAATTTATTATTCCTGCATTGGCCATGAGTTTATCACTACATCCCCATTCCCAAATGAGTTTGGCACCCACATCCAGTGAAGGATAGTGTCAGGGCAGAGTTAACTCCCGCAGGCTTGGAGATGGCAACGGATACCCAGACTTTAGTTTACCCTCATCTGATAGTGTCAGATCCTTGTTCTGGTGCAGCCCCAAATTTCTGGTGAACCTGCACCCAGATTGGGAAGAGGCAAAAATGAGCACTGAGGAAACAGCCCATAGGGCTAGGAGGACTGTCCTGTGAGGTGAGGACTGCCCCTGGATGACCACAGCCACGGGAGGTGCAAAGACGCTGCTAATGACAATCGAGGGTGTGGTGTGGGCCCTCACAGGTTGGGAGCTTCTGTGGCTGTGGTCCATGGAGGAAGGCAGACATGGCAGGCAACTCATTGAGTGGGTTTGCCAGTGAGACAGGAGGAGGGCATCTGTGCCCCAGCCCACCCAGGGTGTCCTTTTGGTCATGATACCCAGGTGACCATGGACCTAGAAGGCAGTCCCCAACCTGGTCAGGGGTAGGAAAGCTTCATTGGCTCCAAGTGGGGCACTGTGCTCTTCAGTACAGCTCTGGCCCCAGGGATGCTGGGGTGACTGCCCGGAGGATCCTCTCATTGCAGGAAGCAGGGCTCATAGCACACCACCGGGCAGTGGTGCCTAATAGCCAGTGAGGGGTGAGACTCACAAGTGGGAGAAATGAGCTTTATTTCCAATCTCCAGCGAGTAGAATAATACTTAGTTCATAAGGTACTTTTGTGTAAATGCAGAAAAGCAAAAATACTGATCAAGAAAATAACTCCTTCATTCTAGATCAAGTAACTTTATGGGCCATGAGTTTTGTTTATGGAAAACTTAGCTTGGCTTAAGTGTATTAAAATTGTTTTTAATTACTATCTAGTGAGGGTTAGTGTCTCCTCGCAGGGTTAGCTGCAAGAATGAGGCCCACAGCCCTCAGAGCATGGAGCGGTGCAGTCGCCTGCTCTGCACGACCTGTAGTCTTTTCTGCCGCTCTGCAAAGTTACTCTTCAGAGTCTGTTTCAGTGCAGGCAGGATGGCACGCTCCACCATGGGTGTTGGGCTCAGAATCAGGCTGGTGGAAGCAGAGGAGGGTCTCTGCATGGGCTCTCAGACACAGATGTGACTGGGAGCAGTTCCCAGAACCCGAGCGCTGCTGGCAGGTGACACAGTGACTGCCCGCATCCCCATCCCCCAGGCCTTTGAGACTCACCATTTCTTAGAGACGCCCTTGGTGGGGACCTTGGGGAACTGCGTGGTCCCTGGATGAAGGGCCTCCTGGTCCCTGAGTGAAGGAAGAGCCACTGAGCCCCAGAAAACTGGGCCCCTCTATGTTGGGGAGGGGCCCAAGTGAGGGGCGCTTACTTGGGAGAACTCAGCCCAGCCTCCTCAGGGGCAGCCTTGAGCCGCTGGTTCCCTTCCAGAAGGGACTTTAGGTGCTGCAGCTGAAAGGCAGGGAGAAGGGCATGGTGGGTGGGGCCTGCTCACTCATCAGGGACAAGCCACCCGCCTCCCCGGGTCCTGAGCCTCACCTCTTGGGCCTGCAAGAGGTTGGCGTTCCACAGCTGGCGGATGATCACCTCACACTGTTGAAGCGTGGTGGGCTTGCGCATGGTTGGGGGCAAGCTCATCCAGGGCGGTGCCCCCATTGCCTGCTTGCCCTTGTGCTGGCTGCCCGCTGCCAAGGTTGCTGCTGGGTTAGAGATCTCCACTTCGTCGTCTCTGAAACAGTCATGGCAGCAGCCCCCAGGTAACCCACTCAGGTTGCCCTGACTGCCCACCACCTCTCCACAGGGCAGCACTGCCAGCACAGGAAGTGGAGGGTAGGTTCCTACACAGCCTTCTGACCAGGGTGCTCTAGGCACCAGTTGGAAGTCCGGTTCTAACTGTGACTAGGCCTCTTCTCTTCGTCCCCTCTAATTTGAAGGCCAAATTGTAGCTACTTTGAGAAAATGGTTTAAGGGCTGCCACTGGCCCCTCTTGAGAGTTCAGGTCAGTGCAGGGACCCTAAAGGACCCCCAGAGGACCAAAAAAGCAGCGCCCACCAAATGGAGGAATCCATCTGCTTTCAGGAGCTTGGTTTGTGCTCGAGATAGGCCATCTAGAAGGGCAAAGTGGTTTGCTGGTTCTAAGGTACAAGCCTAACAAAGGTAATCCCAGGGTTAGTGGGTGCAGGTGAACCTTACTTGGACGTCCCCTGGGGCCCGGGGACTTTGTCCAGCTTGTGAAGCAAGGCAGCAACCGGTGGCTCCTCATCTGGGCCCATCTTGTGGGAAACACTGGCTTTCAAGTCTTGCTTCTTGGAGAGGCTTGGCTGGGACCTGGCCTTGCCTTGAGAGTTGGCTGTAGGTCAGACCCAGAGCTAGTCACTTGCCTTGCCCTAGTGCAAGGTCAGCTGTGGGACCCAAGGAGCCCCCACCCTAAGCTCAGGTTTCTCCTTTGTTAAGACATGGAACAGTCTATCTTGTTTCTGAGAGACACAAATGTTGGTCTGAGGTTGCGTAAGCCTACGAGTGGTGCCTCTTGAGTATTTTAAAGAGACCACAATGTGGAAGCACGGATCCCTGAAGCAACTGGCACAGGGAAAGCCCCCGTGCTGCTAAATCAGTCTCCTCATGGCCTCTAATGGCTGCAGTGGGCCTGAAAGCTGTTCCCTATGAACCCCATTTTGAGCAAAATGAAACTGAGAAGTCTTAAACTTATCCTGCGCAGGTTAACTCTGAGGACAAGGTCTGCGGTTGCCAGGGTAGGGCACTACTGGTGAGAGTGCCCAGCTGCCCAGTAAGAGGAGGCTCTCTGTATCTTTTGCTCTGCAAAGCTTAGGGCTCCATAGATGGGCCATCCCGCTGTATTCTGCCTGCTTGTGGGGACACAGCAGCCTTCTTCAAGGTGGTCAGTGCACTGCCTTCTTGGGAGATCACTCAGGGAAGCTCAGTGGGCACTCAGGACCCTCTGTCAGAGTTTGACTGCTCCTACCCCCACCCCTGCCCTAGGGATAGACTTGCCATGGGTTCCAGTGCCTATGCTGAGTTAGGATGTTTGTAGCCAGGCCTGCCCAGATCTGTAGCATCACCTCAAGGCCTCCCTCTAGCCAGCCCATGGCCCTGTCCCACCCATATAGGTCCCTTCCTGGTGTTTCAGCTCGCTGGGCACTTGGGACCACCCTCAGGGCCCCCAACAGAATTTTCAGCCCTGGTCAGCACTCAGTCCAAGAGTCCCAGTGAGGCGCTTGCCCCAGTACTAAGGGGATGCTGGCCTGCTCACCTGACACTGATGAATTTGAAATGGACTTGATGGACTGAAAGCTGGAATTGGAGGTGCTGCCTGTGGGAGGACATGCAGGGGTCAATCCAAAATGGCAGCACTGACACTTTCGTACCAGCTTCCCAGCCCATAGAGGCTGTGCCTACTTCCCGGCCTTGTAGACTCCAGCCCCACATTCATGGGGAGCCTCCCACCCCACCCTTGCCCAACACTCACAGGTGAGTAGAGGCCTTGGGGAAGGGGGTTTTCTGAAGGGTAATCCAGAAAGGGGGCTTGGGACCTGGAGAGGCAGAAGTCCTGAATGGGAGGTCCGCACTGGGGATCCCAGACTAGGACAGGGGCTATTGAGGGCCCTGCTGCTTACCTAGATTAATTTGCTGGAGCTGTTCTGCCCCACATGAGAAGGGTGCCCACTACCCTACTCCATATGTCTCCCAGGAAAAGGAGAGCCCTGGGCACTCGATGGGGCATTCTGGGCTGCAAGCACTTACTACTGAAACCTGATATCAGACCTGGCCACAAAGTTGAGGAGGAAAGGGAACCTGAGACTTAAGCTGGGTGTCCCTGGGCCAGCCTGGAGGAGAGGCAAGGTGATTGGGCCACCATGAGGATGAGGAAAGGCCTCGGACAAGTGGTTGCAGGTCCCTGCATTTCCTTCCCTCTGCTCCCATGGCCACCATAGGGATGGAGGGGAGAGGACCCCTGGAAGGAGTGTGCTCAGAGCCACCTGTCCCAGGGCCTGATGGACCAGAGGCAGAGGGCTGGGGATGCCACAGAAGTGGGTGCCCACCATGCCTACCTCACAGACCTCAAGCCTTGCTCCTCCCTGTTCCTCTGCCCCCGAGAATACCACCTGATGTGCTGGGTGCGTAGTCACACAGGCCATGGGTGACATCTGTCTGCCAGGACCCCTCCTTGGGATACTTGTGTGGACCAGTGTAGCAGTGTGGGCACAAGCTCTCCTTGGCAGTAACTTCCCACCAGGCCCCTAAAGCCTCAGTCTTACCTTTCTTCTGTGGCTTCTGATTCATTATTAGCTTGTATTGGAGATCTGAAAGCAAGCACATTTCTCCTTGTCACTTGCAAATCCACAGCCACTTTGATAGAAGATTGCCTGGCCCTTCCCTGCTGGGCCCTTGAATCCTCATCCTTCACTTTGTCCACCATGACCACTCCTTTGCCTTAAGGGCCCTAGAGTTAGGAATAACTGGCTATTCCTTGAGTCAATGCTCCTCTGAGAATGTCACCCAAAGTCTGTCTCTCCATCTACCCGGTATCTGCCATGTAGAGTCTGGACACAGGGGTGGGTTGGGATCACTCTGTCTTCCTGAAGCATCTGGCTGTGGATGAGTATGTGAGGTCAGTGAAACAATCAAGTGATGCCTGGGATATGGGCTGCACATCAGGATGAGTGAGGCTCAAGAACACATGGAGAGGGGGTGTCCTGACATATGAATGGAGAGTCCACTGATGGAAACCTCAGAGTAGGATATTTACCACTCTGAGTAAAGGCAGGAGGAAAAAGGGGAGTGGGAAACTGAGGAAACCCTAGATATGTGGAGCTCTAGCTAATGCTGTGGTCCGAGTGTGAAGCAGGGTGCATTCTGCCTCAGACCTGGCCCTTAAGGAGGAGTCCCTTGGGGTGTAGAACTAAAAGGCCCTGCCCTGAGGAGAGGTGGGCACAACACCCAGAGAGATGGAGTTCGGGGTAGGGTGGGACTGAATGGGGTTTGCATGTCTGTCCTTGATCACGGTGTGGTGTGAAAAATCAACTATATTCTAGTAATTTGTACTTCTCTAGAAGGATTTTTCTTGGGTTATGGTAGACTCAGCCAGCCTCCCCTATACCCCACTGTAAGCCGGATGGGTGGAACTCATGGAGGACATGATCCACAGTGACCCAGGAGCTGGAGCTCCCCCGGCTGGCAGCGCCCTAAACTCTAACGTGTACTAGCGTCCATATGCTGCTTCTGTGGTTCAGGACACTGAGGGAGACGGGTCTGTGATTCTCTGGAACGCCACCGCAGGATACCTGCCCACGGCTCTGCCACTCACCCTTGTTTTCCCGTTTGAGGTGCTCGATCTCCTCGTGGAGCTTGACCAGCGTCTCTGAGTGCTGTTGTTGCAGGAACTGCAGACTCTTTTCCAAATCCAGGACCCGCTTCTGCGCATCGCTGAGTCCGAGCTGCGCACCCTGCGGCCCAGAGTGCTGGAGCATAGTGGAGTAGCGCTGGCGCGGACGCGACGCGCCCCGGGAGCCTGGGGTCGCGGAGGTGGAGGACCGCTGTCCGGTAGCCATGCCCGCCAAGCTCATGTCTTACGCCCACTGCCGCCTCCACTACAACCCCTATTCGATGACCAGGCTGTCTTGGCCTGGCACTGCGTCGCCATGGAAACGGGCGCGCCGGACCGAGGAGGTGCAGCGTGTGGTGGGGGCGGGGCCAATGATGCAGGGGGCGTGGTTTTAGCTTGGAGACGGAGCCCGAGCTGTGTTTGACTTGGGCGAATGTTCCCTGACTTAAAAGACGTTTTCTGACTTAAAGGTCAGAGAATCATCTGCCTTTACACCAGGTCTTAGTATTTGTTTGCTTGCTGCACTGAAGAACTTACTTTTTGAATAGATGATATGATTACTAGTTCAAATATCAAAAGGTAGAGTCTCCACTGCCAATAATTGCAGAACCCTCATGCTTTATGACATGTGGAAAAATTATATGAACAGCTAGCTGCCCTAAGGTCCTGGAGAAATATAAAAAGTAGGTGGAAACGGGTGGAAGACACCTCTTAAGAAAAGAATTGCTTTTTCCTTTGAGGACCGTCTTCAGATCTCAAGCAAGAACTTTCAGGCTTTTTTGTTAAGAAAAGCGGAGGCTGGTGTTTGGGATGGCCACTACAACCGAAAGTTGAGGGGTGGGGGCATCTGGGAGTCCCTGGTAGTTTGGAGCCTCAGCAGTTGAGGAGCTTGAGAGTCCAAAGAGCACAGGCTGCAGTAACCGAGAAGAGGTTCCTCTGCTGCCAACCCAGGAGACAGAGAGCGTGGAGTTTGACAGAAGAGCTCCCATTTTTCCTTAAGTCTCCCAAGGAGTCACATCTCTGGAATAAAGACTATATTTTAGAAATAGAGGTTTTGCATTACTAATTAAGGCAAAATCAAAATATATCTACCCTAATAAAAATATATGCACCCAGCTTCCAAAAGCTCATGTTCATCTGTCAGAATTTAATTATGTAGAGAACAAAATTCACTTTTAAGGGAATAACAGAACCAGGGTCTATGAGAACCAGGGTATCTGATCTACCAGTATACATAGTAGAGGTGCAGAGAGAAACAGTCAAATGGGACTATGTCAAGGGGGGAAATCCAATTTCAAACAACGAAACAGATCCACAAATGCTTCCAGACAACAGAGCAACAGAAAGACTCTTTATAATACCCATGTTAAAAATCTATAGAAGCAAGCCCACAAGATGGCGGCAGCTGGAGCAGGGATTCTAGAAAGGAAACTTTAGCTCTGCTGCTGGGAGCCACCGCCTGCCAGCCAGGGAGTGATCAGCTGCTCCAGCCTGGCTTTATCACAAGAAAGCGGTTGATCATTATGAAAATCCTGGAAACGTGGGATCACTTTAACAAAACCTAAAAGTGTTGGAGCTGGCTTATTAGGGGTTCCAGCATTGATGATGGCATGAAATTACAGATTCAAGTGGATGAAAATGTTTAAAATATTTGGCTGTGGTTCTACAGTTGCCTCCAGCTCATTAGCCATCGAATGGATATAAGGGAGGACTTTGCTGGCCTTGCTTACCCCACCAAACACACAGGAGTGTATACTTCATACTGATAATCTTGGCTGCAGCCTCGACAGGTAGAGGAAGTCTTGGCAATCAAATACACAGATATCGCCAAAGAAAGATATCATTCGGTGAAAGTGCTATGTTCCATGCAAGGCTGAAAGTGTAATCAAGGCCACCCTGGCTGATTAAAAACTGAAACAAGAACCAAAAAAAAAATAAAGGGAGGAGAAGAAATGATTCTTTGGCAAAGTCTTTGGCAGTTTGCCCACTCGAAGTGCAACATGTTCAGAAGCAACTCACACTAAAAATAATCTATAGAAAAAGATGACTATAGTGATTGAAAATATGTAGAAATTTTTAAAAGATTGGGAAAATGTTTTAAAAGAGGAAAGACATACTTGAATGCAAGTATATCTGGACTTCTGTCTGGCTAGTAAGGAACATGGAGGTCATCACTTCTTTGCACAAAAAGTGGAGCAACTGAAAAGCATGACCTCTTCTTAGACCGGTCAGAGAATTGCGATCACAGGGTGAGGAGGCCCATATACAGAGAATCACACATTAGTGAGACGGAAACTTAAGAGCAGTAACCTCTGCAGGAGCCAGTATCAAGGTACTGAAAAATCCAAGGTAGGAAAGCTAAACTATTGATATAATTGATGAATTACTAATGTGACTCATTGTAGAAAAATTTGAGAGTGAAAAACTACAGGGGTCTAGCCTTAAGAGGCCCACATACTTTTGTGAGTTTACCTGTCTCAGAGCCCTACCAAGTTCTCACAATGAAAAATCCCTCTTGTGCTGCTTGAGGTGGAGGGAAAATGCAGCATTTGAAATATGCCTAGAGCAGCACTGTGTTCTTTACAAGGTCTTCTTTCAAAAGAAAGAAGGCACCTTGTGCACATTGTCTGTGCAGGAAGCTGGAGCCCCATGAATAGGAACCCTATCTGAGAACAGCCTTGTGACCCTCTGACTAGCACTTCACAGCAGAGGCAGAAGATTCATAGAAAGGAGATCCTAGGTTTGCATGGCCAATTATTGATAATCTTCCCAGAGTTGACAAAAATATTTTTTTTTGTTTAGATTTATTTTTATGCATGCAAGGACTGGGGATAAGGCCACAAGTTCAGGGAGTGAGAGAAGAGGGTGAGAGAGGAAGATAACAGACAGATGTACTGAAGTACACTGCTGAGGGGAACAATGGGTGAGACAGGAGAGGTCTGCTGTGCCATGTGCATCAGCTCTCCAGCCAGGGATCAAATTCATGCTGCAGTGGCTGGTGATAGCTTGATAACTTGATAGTACTGAGTCTTTTTTAAAAAAGATTTATTTAGGGCCCTCCCTGGTGGCTCAGCGGGTTAAAGCACAGCATTAGCCTGGGCCACACCATTCCCATTATCCAATCAATTTAAATGTACATTGTCCCTCTTCAACCTATCCTGCATTCCAGGGGTGGTGGTGGGGAGGGGGGGTGCTTGCCTGGGCCAGGACTGCATTACTTCCTCCATTCCTTCATTCCTCCCTCTCATTTGGTCATATTGAGAATCATCCTCCAGGGGGTGGAGGGCCTGATACTGCTGCGGGAGAACTAGAAGTTGAACAGTGTTAATCCAGTCTTTGACAAAAGAGACAAGGTGATTCAAGACACAGGTTCCAACAGTGACCAAGAGTAAGAGGATTATCATGGGCCCCGCTAAAGCGGACAAAAGGGTGGTCAGCCAGGGAGAGTGATTAAACAGTGATTGGAACCAACTTTCCTGGGCTTTTTTCTTCCTCTTTTGCCGTTCCAGGCCTTCCTTCCTCCATTCCTTCAATGCCTCCATTTTATTCTTTCTTTATTCAGAAGAGCCTTACAAGCTATTTTATGTAAGACATTTGTCCCTCAAATCTTTTTTTTTTTTTTAAAGATTTACTTATTTATTTATTCATACAGAACTGGGGTACAGGCCAGAGATGCAGAGGGTGAGAGGATTCACCAGAGACAGAGCGGGGAGCAGAACAGGCAGATTGATGAAGTACACTGCTGAGGGGAGCAGCTGGCAGGCCAGGAGAGGTCCACCTTGCCATGTGGATCACCTCCAGGGCAGGCGGGGATCAAACTCCTGCGAAAGTGGCTTAAGCTTAGTGCTGTGCTTTAACCCGCTGTACCACCAGCATGTTCCTCAAATCTTAAACAACTTATGCAGAGGCTTTAATGACCTGATCATGTGGGCTATCCAGTTCATCTTATTAATGCATTTTATCTTAAGGATCTTTCCTTGGGGGAACATCTGGCAGTGGAGAAGGCAAGCATATCACTCATAATGAGAGTGGGGTGTAGGTGGGTGGAGGTGGTAAGAAGGCCTTCCATTGCCCAGGTCCATCACTCAAGTCAATAAGTGGTCAGGTTCTCTTTTCCCTTCCCCAATAATAACATAGTTGAAATAAATCAATTTCTTGAAAGTGTTTGTTAGATACAAAAACTCACAAAAAGTGAATAATTTGTACACACATGTATCTGTTAAAGAAATTGAATCAACAATTAATAACCTCTTAAATCAGAAAGTGCAGGGTGGGGTCCAGATAGGCATGGGTCAATTTAGCAATACATAAGGAAGAAATTCTATTAATCTTTTACTATCTTCTGGAAAAATTAGGAGAGAGAATGCTTCCTAATTAATTTTTTGAGGTAAGCATTAATTACCCTAAAACCAGTCAATGACATTAAAAGAAAGGAAAAACATAGGTCACCCTCTTGCATAAACATAAATGAAAACAACCCTCAAGAAAATATTAGCAAATTTAATCCAAAAATGTATAAAAAAGAATTACATACCACACCACATAGAATTTATGCAAGCCTGGAAGTCTTGTTCAACATTTGAAGGCCAGTTAGGTTAAGGGGAAAAAGTCATGATTGTCTCAATAAAAAGGAGTGTTGGGAGTGACCAAAGATTTACTGACAAGGACTGAATTAGGGCAGTAAAGAATTGAACCTTGCATCCAAGTTTGACAAAGTGGTAGTAAACTGACCTTGAGATCCTGGGTGGGAATAGCTGAGGGTGATAAGGAACTGGGCCTCACATCAAGGACACAACGATGAGTCACCCCTTTGGAATCTGAGTTTAGAATCTATATAAGAGACCCTTCCCCCTAATTGAGTTGGCAGTAGCTGCCTACCCAACGCTAGGGTCTCCGTCTCAGCTGCTGTCCGGGAGCAATAAACTGTTTGCTCAGCCTTTCTGCCTCCCTCCTTCCTTTCTTGCGGCAGGTCACAGAAGTTGGGACAAAACAAGGAGAGTAACATTTAATCAACTCCAACACACATTCATGGGAAAAAACAAAAACTCAGCAAAAGAAGAATAGAGAGAAAATTCCTCAACTTGATAAGGAATAACTATAAAAAGGCTATAACTAGCATCATACTTAATGGTGAGAAATGAAATACTTTTCTAAAAAGAGCATGAAAAAAAGTAATATACTACTCTACAGGAAGGCCTACCTTATATCACAAGGTAGAAAATTAAAATAATAGCTGTACAA